GAAATAGAAGGTCTCTACCTCAATCTGATAAAAGCCATCTATGAAAAACCAACAGCCAATATCATACTAAATGGTCAAAAACTGAAATCCTTCATTCTTAAATCAGGAACAAGACAAGGATGTCCATTATCACCACTCCTGTTCAATATAGTCTTGGAAACTTTAGCCACAGCAATTAGACAAAAGAAAGAAATAAAAGGAATAAAGATAGGAAATGAAGTCAAATTGTCATTATTTGCAGATGATACAATACTCTATATAGAAGACCCCAAGAACTCCACCAAAAATCTTCTAGACTTAATAACCAAATTCAGTAAAGTAGCTGGACACAAGGTCAGCACGCAAAAGCCAATGACTTTTCTGTATATGAACAACAGACTCACTGTGAGAGAAATAGGGCAAACAATTCCTTTCACAATAGCATCTAAAAAACTGAAATTCCTAGAAATCAATCTAACAAAAGAAATCAAAAACCTCTCCTCTGAAAACTATAGAACTCTGAAAAGCGAGATTGAAGAGGATATCAGAAAATGGAAAGATATCCCTTGCTCCTAGGTAGGAAGAATCAACATAGTGAAAATGACCATACCTCCAAAACTGCTATATCTAGATTCAATGTAATCCCAATTGAAATTCCAGGAGCATTCTTCACAGAGCTCAAGAAAATAATCTAAACATTCATTTGGAACAAGAAGAGACCTAGAATAGCAAAAGCAATTCTAGGCAACAGAGACATGTCAAGGGGTATTACAACCCCCAACTTGAAACTATACTACAAAGCTACTGTGACAAAAACAGCATGGTACTGGCATAGAAACAGACCCAAGGATCAGTGGAACTGATTAGAAGATGCAGAAACAACTCCAGACACACACAGTCACCTCATTTTCAACAAAGGACCCAAACATCCTAACTGGAGAAAATATAGCCTCTTTAATGAATGGTGCTGGAAAAATTGGGTTTCAACTTGCCTAAGATTAAAACTAGACCTATATCTGTCACCATGCACTAAACTAAAATCAAAATGGATTAAGATCTAAATATTAAATACTGAACCAGTTGGAACAGAGGTTAGGTAGAACTCTTGAAGACATTGGTTTAGGAAAAGATTTTATGAACAAAACCTCTGTTGCCTGTGAACTAGCAGAAAGAATCAATAAGTGATCTCTTCTTATTAGAAAGCTTCTGCACAGCAAGAGAAACCACCAACAGTGTGAAGAGACAGCCAACAATGTGGGAAAAGTTTTTCATCTGCTGTTCCTCTGACAAAGGTCTACAATCTATAAACTATAAAGAATTTTAAAAAATCAGATCTCCCAAATTTAAAGACCCATTTCAAAAATAATCCTCTGAAATGAACAGACATTTCTCAGACAAAGAAGTAGAAATAGCTAATAAACATATGAGAAAATGTTCAACATCACTGGTCATTTGAAAGATGCAAATGAAAACAATGCTGAGATTCCATCTAACTCCAGAAAGAATGGCTGCTATCA